CTTTTAGGTGGAATCGAAGTTTGCATTTCAACTTTTATACTTTCACACCAGTTGATGTTACTACCCTTGGTTTAGAGAAATTCAAGTTGAACCTCGCAGGCGGCAAGAAGTCTCCTAACGATCACAATGCCTCCCTTTGTTCAACAAACTGATACTTGACTAGGGCTGCTATACTCCAGACAAAGTGAGAGTCAGCACTGACAATCTTTCGGAGAGTCGCTCATACACTCCCATGACTCTTTTGCGATAGGAGTCGGGGTACTCTTCATAAAAGGAGGGTCCTCACAACTCTTGTTACAGAGTCACGGGGATTACCAGGAAGGAGTCGTGTGACTCTTTTTCTCCGTTGGATAAGAGTCGTTAAAGAGTCGCAGTTGACTACGTCACCTGGAGTCGCCCATACATTACCATGACTCCAGTGTGATGAGAGTCGCAGGACTCTTTTTTAAATAAGGGTCAAGTGACTACAAACTGGAGTCGTGGAGGAGTCAAATCTGTAGCGCGCGAAGACCTCCCACAGGGAGTTGTGGCGACTCTGTTTAAAAAAAATTCGTGGGACTCTACAAACTGGAGTCGATTCTGCGGCGCGCCAATACCCCCCAAAGAGAGTCATAGCGACTCTTTTTTTTTAAGAGTGTACTGTTGCTACTGGAGAGCCTACCTTCTGACCGCCCCGACACCTTGCGGTACACTGTTACGTCACAGTGCACTGGCGGGAACTTTGAATTGGGCCTCGTATTTCTATTTTTTATAAAAAAACTACGCACATCTATAGTGAAACAATTTTTTGTAATGTCCTGACATGCCATTTCAACGCCTAGCATGAAAACAAATATTTTTTTTGGCGTGTCAGAGGACCTTTAACACCTGCCGCAAGTCGCGGCTTTGACTGCATTCAAGTTGATCGAAAAGCGATTTCTCAACGCGTGAAGCATCACTTCCAGCTGAGTGAGTATCCGCTGTACATAGATTAATTCAAGACGGCAATCGCAGCCTTGCGCGAACAGCACACATAGAAAAAAAACACTACAATAGAAATACAGGCTACGACGGCCGTGCGGCGAAACAAACTCGCGGTTTTGAACCGCATTGGAGCGGCTTGATTTATTGGCTTTCAAATAATTACAGCATGATCGAGCGTTTGCTTTTTAATAAGAGATTCATCCCCTGAGCCATTTAAAATACTCTCAGAGGTATGACATTGCTGGAAAAAATGAACATGCTGGGAATATTTTTTATTGCTCATTCAGTCACCGAGGAATTCTGTACGTTCAAAACGACCAGTATAAAAGACGGAAACGTAGGGCGCGGGTGTAGCGTTCGGGTTAGTGTGCCGTTGTCAATTGCCGTTGACAATTATCGTTGTATTGATGTTTGTATGTGCAATGAATGCGCATGTGCTCAATGTATGTTCACCTGATGCTTGTAGTATGCCTAATGTGTGTATAGTAGAGGTCCACGAACATTTCGAAGCGCAATGGTGCCATGAGGAAATGAAAATATATTTTTGTAGAACATGAATTGGGCAGTACCTAGCGCCATCTAACCTACCTACTTGCAATCACTCTGCTTGACCCTTCCATCTGGTGGCAAGCGATTTAACCTTCTTTCACGCTACGCGATAAACAGCGGCCGCAGCAGCTTCGAGTTTGTTCTTTTGAGAGTGGCTTTTGGTTTCGCGGTTTGAGTTTGCCATTCTTCCGTGATGTGCGGTTGACGAAGGAATTGTGACTCGAGGAACACCAAAGGTAAGACGTAAAGTGCGCGAGGTAACTGCGTATCGGTTGTCTCCGTTTATCATCGCAGTGCTGTCGACGAGAAGACTGAGTAACTGCTTTCGAAACGCAAGTTTCTGTACCTGTGGGGGGAATCTAGCTTCGGAAATAAACATAGTTCGCAGAAAGCTCGTGTTACGCTGTTATTTGCTGCTCCTCTCGTCCCGTACAAGAGGCGTAGCGTCATCGTTAAGCCTTATTAAGCTCGATTTGCACGATTGAGGGCCGCCATAATGAGATGCAGGCGACGGAGGAACTACTTTCCCGCGTGCTTCAGGGACGAAAGTTTCTCCCTTTCTAAAGGAACATAGGTTACAAGACCGTTCTTCCCCTAAGGGAGGACTATCGATACCTTTTTTTCTAAGAGTGTAGCCGCCCCGCACACTATTGGCCCGTTTGCACGTGACATCTGGCTTTCGGTTTTGGACTTCCGGTCGCCATTAATTTCCCAAGGTGATGCTACGCCGCAGCTGGCGGGCTGCAGCGCCTGTCGAAAAGTCGGCCGGAAATTTTTCCAGTGTTCCCACTGGAACGGAAAATGAACCTCGGAGGAAGATCTTGCTTCACCGAATCGGTCGAAAAGATTTCAACCCTACGGGAGTCGCTAAGTTATGCTAGGTGAGTGCTCTGTATAAAGCTCACCAGCATGCAAAAGCACAGCTGTTTAGAGCGAGTTATGCACTCCATTCCACCGTAAACGCGAGCGATGTAATAGCGAGCACAACACTGCCAATTTGGCATGCACGGACGCCCGTGCCGTGGAAGTTAAGGCCCCTACGTACAGTTGCGTTTGAAAGCGTTTTACCGCGTTGCGTTGAGAAACGAAAGTGAGTCGCCGGCACATCTGTGCTTTGTATGAAGCGTGGAATCCAATTCAAGGAACCGCTTGGCACGCGACAAAAATAGTATATCAAGGTCCTGCGTTCTCGTAGTCGCAACGCAGTGAAACGCTCTCAAACGCAACTGTGCGTAAGGGCAAGTCGTTCGAAACGGCCTGCTTCTGCTCGTGCTTGTGGCATCGGCGTCGCTCTTGTCAAGTGTTGCGTACGTGCTCGCGTACCATACCTTGTTTCGCACATATAGCTTGCAACGCTGCCGCGGCTGCGGACCCGAGCATGTGGATGGATCTATACCCCGTTTCAATATAACTGCGAGCGCAGCCAGTGCGACTAGCACGAGTATGTTTTCTCTGACGACGCTCTTACTGGACGAGCGTGTGTGTTTATCCCGCTCAAAGTGCGTTCGCTCTCGTAGCGTCAATGGCGTCTCCTTCACCCGTGGTGTCGAAAATTTTTACAGCATCCACAGAATACAGGCGCACAGAAATACGTAGAAGTTTTTGGCATTACTACTACTGCAGTCAGCTTAAAAATGCTAGCTTAGCGTCAACCACATCACCGCTTCCCCGATTAGAAAGAAAATATTATCTCGGTTTCTAGGCCACCAAATTGCTTTTAGCGCGGTAGGCCCAACCTTCCCGAAAGCTCATCAAGGACACATTAAAAAGTAGGGAATCATTTGCAATCGCAATCTACTGAACTCGCCCTTATTACACAGAAGGAACATATTCTTAGAAATTTTGAAAATAAAAAAAACGAACTCTCGGCAATTGATCGACGTTACGAAAGCATTTGACTACCTTGATTACGATTTGCTGATTAGAAAATTGCAACTGCACGGATTTTGTGGTCAATTGTCACTGGTCATTAAGTCGTATCTCTACTCAGGTAGACAATATGTACACATACATGGCCATTCGTCGTTAATAAAAGTAATTGGATCGGGCTTTCGTCGAGGAAGCATTCTAGGTACATTCTTATTCAAACATTTACGTAAAGGACATAGCAAACATAAGCCAGTCAGCAATGTTTGTTAATTACGCCGATGACAGAGGTTTACTGATAATGCAGATAATACTCTTGAAAACTAGTTAACTCGAGTAAAAATAATGCTTTAAAGTATACATGTCTAAGACAAAGGTAATTTTATTCCGCCCGAAGAACAAGCAGGTTGATATAACCAAGGACATGCCATTTCGGTCTTCTCAAATAGAATTAGCCCCAAACTTTTAAAACGTTGGTTGTCTTTTTTTCAGTAAACATGTTATGGGATTCCTATACTAATTTCATCATATCAAAATTGTTCAGCGTATTTGGCATGGTATTTTGGCCAAAATATATTTTTCCGGTCAGAATAATATGTATTATAGAATTCGCTTTTTTTATTCAACTATTAATCACGGTCACCTGGTATGGGGCACAACTACCCATAGCGACTTTCTGAAGATATTCATATTACAAAAATATACGGCATCCAAGTATTCAACGGAAAATCTTTTCGTTCAGCATATTGCATCAAAAACGTTTGATTTGTACAAATATCGACTCTGGGTAAAATGTAAGGCTGAAACAAATATACAAAATATTCATCTGGAAGATTTAGCCCATTTAACACGGAGAATATATTGATACCCAACTCGAATTACTGAACCTTGGTACGTCCCTTCCAGCAGAACAAATTATGACCATCAAACTATTGCTTACACCCTTCCGATATGTCTCAATCAGCTTTGTACTAATCATTTTGAACTTCATGAACTGTCGGTTGACGCCTTATGGGAATTCATCATGTCTACCCGACTTAAAGGTGCCCTCCGGAGCTTTCTGCGATCGTCTGTTTATGTTGTTATATTGCGTAGTAGGTGCAAGTTAATATGTATACAAAGTTTTAGAGTACAAAACCGTTTATTAAGTAAATGGCAGTAGAAATATATCGTTACTATTTTCTCTTGAAAGACAATCGCCCATTCCCTGGCCATCGCTAAAACTTGACTAATGGAAATGCTGCATCTCGCGGTGAATGCGAACTTTATTATTGCAATACTTTTTAAGCTTCTTGTAAGTTAGGGTTTGAGAAAAACGTAAACTGATTGTGGTGCGGGAAACATAGTTTGCAATTATCGTTCCAAAGCCAGCGAACTATGTTTTCTCCCCGCAAGCTTGTTGCTAGGGGGTGATGCGTCGGCGCGTCGGGTCGTCTGCTTCCCGGCGCGTGTGCAAGCGTGCGTTTGCGACACATGTGTTCCTTTTTCCTGTGGATCCCGACTCCGAAGCCAGCTTTGCGATCCTTCCACGCGAATGAGTCAAACTTTTCCTTGTCATCTGTGGAATGCGACTGCGTATTGCAGTAGTTTCTTTTATCCTTTGAGTGAGCGATTTCTCTGAAATGCCGAACGTTTGTTTCGTCAAGACGTGCCGCCATCAAACTGGGAAGAACGTTCGCAAGGGCTTGCGATTCTTCTCTTTGCCGGAGAAAGAACCACGAAGGACTGCGTGGTTACGCTGCGCCGGGCGAGGGCACGACATCGAGAACCTGCCTCTCATTCCCCGTTTTTGTGCCGAACATTTCGAGCCGACTGCTTTCCGAAAGGACGACCTGCGTCGTTCACGTCTTCGATCAGATGCTGTGCCGACGCTTCTGCTTCCCGTCGCCGATGAGACCGACGATCCTCCCCCAAAGCGCCAAAAAGTCGTGGTGAGTTTTTCGATGGCTCAAATATTTTTGGGAGTGTCACGAACATGGCATGCTGCGTTGCGCAGTGCGGCTGCTTCTGGTATCTATATTCTAAACTAAGACCTGAGGAGGCATTTGTGTAACATGGGAATCCACATGGCATTCGTCAAGTCGATCAGTGGTGCCTAATGTTCCGGACTAGCGGTTCGAGAGCTTATCGCGCGAATGGTGCGGTGCATGGGGTTCTTCATTTTCGGGTTTTATATTTTTTAAAAATCGGGGGGTAAAAATCGGGCGCTATTTTTCCGGGCGATAATCTTGAAGAAATGGGGTTTTTCCAGAAACCATTCCGAAATTCGGATTTTTTTTCGGGATTTCTTTATCAATTACAAATACGTGCAATGTGTTATTTACATGAACGAACGTAAACAAAATATATTATATAGGCATAGGATATGTTTCTACCTTCTGATCGGCTCTGAAGTGAATCTGTGCGGGGGTCACGCAAATCGAAGAAAATTGTAACCATCAACGGATGACCAAGGAAACACCGTTTAACCAGATCCAGAATGGTTCATATTTTCTATCAAGTCAGGTGATTTCAACACTGCTTTTCGGGGAGAAATCGGGTTTAACCCGATTGTCATCAGAACTATTCGGGGAAGAAAAATTAGGTATTATCGGGTTTTACCCGAAAACGAAGAACCCTATCAGCATGCACCACCAGGATCGAACTCATTTGTAAAAAGAAAACACGAACAAATAAGATAAGAGGACACAGTCATAAATGGCCTCTAATGGTACCACCATCCCCACCCCCTCTGCTATTGACCCATCCGAAGTCAATAAATGTTTTCCCAGCTTGTTTACAGACAGGAACCCTTTCGTATCAGCTTAGCAAAGTTCCAAGTGTCCGTGACTACTAACAAGCAGGTTTTCTTTTATATCTACTCTTGTGAGAAAACTCAGTCTTTTTTTTTTCTTCTCACAATCCTGCGCCCACGATTGGGTGCAAACCCGCGTTTGCAAATTTGTATGCACATAGCAAATGCACGCCATAATTTTGTTGCTTGGTGGCACTTCTGGACGTTGAGAACTCATGGCAGTTGCTGTATGTTTCCCACTTGCGACTATAAGTGCTCGTTGGTTGCATTTCCTTCAGTGGTTGGTAAATACATGTCAAGCTGCAGCTTTACATATGTATGTAATGTGACATCATATCGCGACATGAACATTTATTGTTGCTGAGCTAGAGACTGAAAATATAGATGGTAATGTAAGTTATAAAAACAAATATAAAGAGTGAGGCATCCCTTAGATTAGTATTACAGTGAGAGCTTTGGTTGAGTGCATGAAATTCTAAGCTATGGAAAGGCTACAACAAATTCATGGATGTTTGCCATCAGCTAAAAAACAAGGCATCATGGATGTTTGCCGCGGTGACGGCATTGTGTGGAGTGCTCGAGTTGCACCCTTCAACCTTGAAAATATGAAATGTGTAATAAACAGTGCCCTTTGCAGACTCAGGCCTCGGTAACTGGACTGCCTGCACCCTGCGAGGCAGAAATGACCCTCAGGGACTGTACTGCTGAGACAAACATCCCCGCAGTGGTGCCACCTGTCCCTGTCGCAGACGTGCCTGCACAGTCGCATCCACCTGAGTCTGCCTTCTCCACTTGTAGCAGTGGGGTGCCATATGAATGCACATCTCCTGTTCCCAGCAGCATGCCAGACTCTGACGCAACCTACTCTCCGTCTCACAGCGAGGATTACGAGAGGTAAGTTGTGCATATAAACACATAGAATCTGTAAAGAACGCTCCACATGATCCCATTTCAGAATCGAGCATGGTGCATCAGCTCCACCACCACCACCAGAAGAGCGCCAGTTTCTGGTGTTCGAGAGCTGCCTAAGGGAGCTTTTCAAGACGTGCCAAGAGCGCTCAAGACTGTGCCAAACAACGATCGAAACTACCGGCACACTGATCACAGTCTACAGCATCTGCCCTGTGGAGCACGTGCGCACATGGAAAAACCAGCCCATCGTCAACGGCAGACCAGCAGGGAACATACTGCTGACCAGCCACCTGGTCTTCTCTGGAGTGAAGATTGCCCCTACGCTGCGGATGCTACGCCATATGAACGTGCAGGTCATCTCCGACTCGAACTTCTACGAGCATCGGAAGGCCTTCGCTCTACCTGCAATCCACAAGGTGAGCAATATTCCGGGACACTGCAGCTGCATTTTTTCCCATATACACAATTTTCGAATGAGGTACAAAACTGGAGCCCCAGTCACACTTCGGTTAAATGAATAAATATCTTCTTGTAGTATGCCACTTCAATGGTATAGTGCTAAGAGATAAAATTTTATACATCATGTTACATATGTGCCATGGGCTACTAAATCCACGATACTTTAATTTATTTCTGCTATGTGTAGTATCCTGGGGCAGTTCCCTGTCTGGCATTGGGTTGAGTGAGTCAGGTTCCCCGTGAGAGTCAAGAGACAGAGGGTGGTTGTTAGAATGAAAAAGGGTAGGGCAGCTTCGAAGTAACGGGCGGCCTGCTGCCTCATTTATGAAATACACAAACATAAAAACACAAAAAATCACAACCTAGCACAATCTAAGTCATATTCAAACTCGCTGCATTGTGCTTTCCTTTTTCTTTCACTCAGTCATTCATTCTACAACACTACACTATGCATACATAAACAGATGGGACTATTGTAGTATGCTCCATGCCTTTCTAAAGCAATATTTATCTGCATGAACAGGTCTGGCTGCAAGAGCAACAGGAACTTCTCAACGAGTTGCAGAACAAAGAGGTGGACATCTCTGCTGACGGGAGATTTGACTCCCCTGGGTTCTGTGCCAAGTACCTGACGTACACAGTCCATGTTGAGCAAATCAACAAGATTCTACACTCTGTCCAGGTCCAGCTAAAAGAGGCAAGTAGTGAGATTTACGTGAACCAGTTGCAACAATCTCATAATCTTTCTCTTGTGTTATGTCATCAGTTACTTCACTGCTATGCACTATTTTGGTAAAATATTTATTTCGCACCTTTTTATAGTCTGAACAGGCCATGGCCAGTGTCAACATGGAGAAGGAGGGCCTCCTCAAGCAGCTGCAACTCTTCAAGGAGAAAGGTATGTTCATGCATAGTTCGTGTATATCACTACTCGGCGGCCTTTCAGGCACTCTGTTCAAATTGGCATAATCACTTATTATTTTGCTATCTTCGGAAACCTAATGGTGCAGGTATCAAGATCCGATCGTTGGTGACTGACCGTCACCCTGCCACACGAAAGCGCATGAAGACGCACGAACCCGGGATTGACCACTTCTTTGACATATGGCACATCTCCAAAAGTAAGCAATCCTAACAGGCCATTCGTGTAGCTTTTATTTTCCAGCGATCACACTGCAGGATTCCCTGACACGACTCTGAATTTTAGGTGTGAAAAAGAAGCTGACAGCAGCAAGCAAACGGGCTGGATGCCAAGACCTGCAAATCTGGATCCAGACAGCTAAATACCATATCTACTGGTCAGCAAAGGCTGCAGGAGGCGACGAGAAACTGCTCATCGACATCTGGCTCAGCATGCACAACCATGTCATCAACAAACACTCTGGGCACGAAGGAACCTATGGAAGGTACCTCCATGGTGACATGCCAGAGCCAACACGACCATGGATGGATCCCAGTATGTTTTTGTTCTTCCAAATGAAGGTGGTTTTTCTAAAACATGTATCATCCTCAGACTCGCAGGCCTACAACCAATTTAAGAGCATCACTGACAACAAACTGCTCCTGAAGGACCTTGCACAGATGTCTCCACATGGCCAGACATATGGTTTGGAGGCGTTCCACAGCGTCCTGACAGACTTTGCCCCGAAGCCCCAGGCTTTCAGCCCAGAAGGCATGCTTGCAAAGTAAGTCAACCAATTTACAATCACATTTCCTTCGTTTGGACACTTTCATCCAGTCCATTGGTTACAATGCGACAAACCTGACAGTCTCTTCCTAACGATCAGATAATGGAATTGGATTGATGCCAGAATAACCACTCTTTGTAAGTGGCACACTTTACCATCACTGAAATGTAACCATCTTGCAGGACTCGACTTGCAATCCTCCATTTCAACGAAAACTCAAACCGCTGTTAAGCCGTCACACGAGAGGGCAAGCCACGTTGGTCGGTCGTAACATCAAAAGCACGAAAGGGCCACCACACAGCACGACCAGAGATTACGGATCCCACTTACAGTGAGTATAACACTAACTGCAGTGTGAATACCTTGTCCAGAGAGCCTAGGAATGTTATCACACAAAGGTTTGAATTCTAGAGTATGTTGGAAAGCTCATTAAGGAGGCAATGGAGAGCAGCAAACAGTGGCGGTCCCTGCTGCTGCATCGAAGGCCAACACCGTCGTCTTCCCGGCACCGATGACTGCAGCCTACACAAGGCCTCCAAAAGAGGAACTCGTGGCAGCACGAATGTCCAGGTTCGGCCAGAGTCCCCAGTAACGGCATCAAATCCCTTTTCGGGACTTCCATGCTGCCGCAGGTAAGCACACAGGACCTTGGTCCTAATCAGGGTGTAAGATAAGCAGGTGGGGAAACGGCCGATAGAAGCCTACCGCAGCCCCGTGACCGGATTGTGTACTCGTCTGCTTGCGGGAACCCCCGATTTGCAACAGATGGTGCTGTGGCGAGAGGAAAAAAATCGGAATCGGATTTGCATGGAACTTTATGGGAGAGTGCGCAAAATAAACAGAGAGCACGACAGTCTTTATTGAAAATCCACGAGAAACCATCTCCGTCAGTTTAGCCAGTCGCCACCGGTCGCCCACCTGGAGTGAGAGTTTGCGGTGCTCCACATCGATGGCGCCACAGAAAAAGAGGAAACCGAGGGGTACACAATCCGGTCGCTCATTTGGCTCTCGTTTCCCCACCTGTCTATCTTACACCCTGGTCCTAATACAGCCTTGCATGGTAAGCAACCGCTTTGTTTTGCAGGACGTACGGCGAATGCAAGCAGACAGACCCAAGAAAAAACAGCCGAGCTGCAAAATGGTTCACCATTTTCCATTAGGACACCCTGACCGACAGTTAGGAGGAAGTTAGATCTGTCCGCAATCTTTTTTCACAGAAATGCAGATCTCTCTTCATGAGAATGTTCCATTTTAGGGCCTAATCAAGCTGGTCATGGTATGCCTATCTCAAAAGAGGGCAAGGAACTTTAGTCGTTGGCAATGTCGGAGTCACAGAAAAGTCACCAAACAGCGAGACTCAAGGCTTCAGCTCAACTTGCGGTGAGGACGACACTAACTTCAGTGTGAACGCCCATCTAGCTCAACTTGGAATGTCTAGGAATGTAATTATGCAACCGTCTGAATTGTCACTGTAGGTTAGAAAGTCTGTCAACGAGGCGGACAGCAGCAGGCAGCAAAGACCTGGTTGGATCTTTCATGCTGCCAGTGGTAAGCACACAGGAGCCTCGTCCTAATGAAAACTACCATGGTAGGCAACCGCTTTGTTTTGCAGGACGGACGGCGAATGCAAGCACACAGACCCAAGAGAAAACAGCCCAGCTGCAAAATAGATCACCATTTTTCGTTAGAACACCTTGACCGACAGTAAGGAGGACATTAGATCTGTCCGCAATCATTTTTCACAGAAATGCAGATCTCTCCTCATGAGAATGTTCTATTTTAGGGCCTAATCAAGCTGGTCATGGCATGCCTATCTCAAAAGAGGGCAAGTAACTTTAGCCGGTGGCAATGTCGGAGTCACAGAAAAGTCACAAAACAGCGAGATTCAAGGCTACAGCTCAACTTGCGGTGAGGACGACACTAACTTCAGTGTGAACGCCCATCTAGCCCAACTTGGAATGTCTAGGAATGTAATTATCCAGCAGTCTGAACTTTCACTGTAGGTTGGAAAGTCTCAACGAGGTGGACAGCAGCAGGCAGCAAAAACCTGGTTGGATCTTTCATGCTGCCAGTGGTAAGCACACAGGAGCCTCGTCCTAATGAAAACTACCATGGTAGGCAACCGCTTTGTTTTGCAGGACGTACGGCGAATGCAAGCTGACAGACCCAGAAGAAAACAGCCGAGCTGCAAAATGGATCATCGTTTTCCATTAGGACACCCTGACCGACAGTAAGGAGGACATTAGATCTGTCTACAATCATTTTTCAGAGAAATGCAGATCTCCTCTATTGATAAGGCTTGATTTTAGGGCCACGATCAAGCGTAATGGAGAGAAGCAAGCATTGGCACCTGCCCTCTCAAGCCGGATTTTTCAAGCCCAGCATGGTGCACCTCTATTGTTGGCACATCAGTGACAACAGTAGAGGCATTATGAGATGAGGACAGGCCAGTGCTATAATTCTTCCCAGTCCATTAGCTGTAATTAGCGTTCTGCGTTCTCAGATAAACCTGATAAACTCCAAAAAAACACTAGCCGTTAAAATTTTGCTGATTCAGATTCATTTGAAAAACTCAATTTTTCGGTCTGCCAGCTGTTATAAGCCCCACCAGTCTTTATATTTCCTGGAATCTTCGAACAATTTTTGCAATTCTCCTCTTATTGCAGTGTCAACTTCCGTTGCCGTGTAGCCCCTTATAATAGAAATGAGGTAGGCCCTCTACGACAGTAGATCAATACGGCTCTCATATGAAAATACTGCTTTACTAAATTCACAAACTGCTGTTTTCTACCTTTCATTTGCCTCATCGAAAATGCCGAAAGACTCCGAACTTTGCGTACATAAATGAAAACTCCAAATTGATGGCGCAAAAAAAAAAAAAAAAAAACACCCTCTAATTTTGCTAAAAAATTAAATTCAAGAACGCGGGATCCTAGCTATAATTTGTGCAAGCTTTCGAGATCGAGGAAATCGGTGACCGTATTGTCATATTCATTGTGGGCACACCACAATGAAGGCGGATCAAGTGCTATTTTGAATAGCATGTAGTTCTGCACCAGAGATCCCATCCCCAGTTCACAAGCTTAGCCCATCGCAGCAGTTTTAGAAAATTGAAGCATTTTCGGAACCCAACCGACACTTTTCCGAAGACTGTAACACAATGCCTTATCCATCTTTCTTTTCATGTGCTGATGAGCAGACATGCTGTGGAGACTGCACCGAGGCGGGGCAGCCTGCCCGTGTTTCCAATAAATGGGGTTTTCATCCAGGAAATAGGCTGGTAATGCAGCAATAACATAAGTGGGGTGGTTGCATATAACACTGGAAATATTAACAGAAGTTTTTTATGGCGATTTAAAAACAGCGTTGCATTTTCCAGTCTACACCACGGTTTTCCCCCCCGTCTGCAACATTTGTCTTCTGCCATTATTGACCTGCTTGCAAATAAGTAAGGCACATTCGCTAACCTTACGATTGAAATAAACTGCATTAATTTTCCAACAACTTGACTTCTCGGTACCAGAACCTGGAAGGTGTAGAAATTTGCATGACCAAAAGGAAATAATTTCATAATTGAAAACAAGTGATGTCAATGAGAGTACTAATTTTGTGATCCCCTGGATGATTTCTGCATTGTGAGGTCAATTACATGGGTCGATGTAACTAGAATACTGCACTATGCCTAACTAAAAACCCGACCGAAATTGTGCCATTTCCTCAAAGTATTTGCATGATGTGAGGGTATACTTGCCAATTATAACGACAATATAAACTAACAATCGTAGTATTCACTGAAATATATAAGCAGATCCTATTTATCACCGGGAGGAAAAACCCAGGGCAACTGGGCTGTGGAGGTATGGAATATTCCATGCAGGGGATCTATTCTGCATGCTCAAAAAGCATTCCACAGCCAAGTAAAAAAAAAGGATTTCGCAGAAGGCTTGGACTGGAAAAGTCTATACTAGAGCACATGTTGAAAGTACAGTAATCAAATGTAGGTTGGCAATGAATTCTAAATAAAAAAGTAAAAATTTACAGCATGCCTACAGTCGGTGACAGGTCAAGAACGAAGTGGAAGCTCCTCCCACCTCTTTCCACTTTAGTAGAGCGAATGCTGGGGAGGAGGCGACCTCCTCTCCGTCGTTCGCTGCACTGAAGTGGAAAGGTGTGGGAGGAGCTTCCACTTCGTTCTTGACCTGTTACCGACTATAGTCACCCAAGCAGAACGTCATTTGTTTGTCATGTTAGCCACGTCGTCATCCAGACCCTCGGAACAATCGACCACGTCCCTCTGAAAACTGCAGCAATCGCAATTCGCCTTTCTTCGCCTCAACGCACCGGCACGCTCAGACGGCTGATGTAGGGAAGCATCTTGTAGCTTCATGCAGTCAGATTTTTCCAGGTTTTATGCAGTTTCTCCATTTGAAAGAACAGATCCAGAAGAAAGTAGAAGTACACTGCGCAACACTGTTAGCGCGAACATTACATCGGTGCTTTTTCTATCTTTACTTTCAAATGGTATTAGTGGGTGCCAAATTTTACTGCTTAGGTTAGTGTTCCAAATGAGCACTTCTCACCCCCTAGTAGTTTTGATGACAGCATTTGGATTCTAGGAGGAAAATGAAGCAATCCGGTCGTGCGACTCAAATCAAATTTGGGGGTTTTACGTGCCAAACCAACGACGAGCATCTGGCACGCCCCAGCGGAGGACCGAGGATTAATTTCGACCACCTGTGGATCTTTTGACGTGCTATCGAAAGCTCGATTACAAGGTGCCTTCTCCGCAATAAACCTCCATCAGATTGCAGGCACCTCGGCCGGGATTCGAACCCGCCACATGGGACCCGTAGGCCGGCACTCTCGCCTCGGAGCCACCGAGGCGGCTTCGTCGTGTGACTGAATGCGACGTAGGTGCACTGGCTTTGGTTTGACTACGATCATGTGATCATAGTTATGGTCACGTGATATCGTAAATAATAGGTCACGTGATTTAGAGGA